TTCCCCAGAGACAGGGTCCTGCTCTATCACCCAGGCTGGAGTGCAGTGACACAATCATGGCTCACTGCAGCCCTCAAACTTTCAGGCTGGCTCCTGGCTTAGCCTCCTGAGTAGCTGGGACTACAGGCGCACACCACCACACTCCACTAATTTTTCTAATTTTTTGTAGTGATGGGATCTCATTATGTTGCCCAGGCTGGTCTCAGACTCCTGGGCTCAAGCAATCCCTCCGCCTCAGCCTCCAAAAGTGCTGGAATCACAGGCATGTGCCGCCTCACCTGGCCCCACTCCCCACTTTCGATTTCCCCTTTCTGATGCCTCTCTCCACCAATCTCTAGGGTATCAGCTGTGTGATAACAGTGTGGGGGTGCTCTTCAATGACTCAACACGCCTTATTCTCTACAATGATGGTGACAGCCTGCAGTATATAGAGCGTGATGGCACTGAGTCCTACCTCACCGTGAGTTCCCATCCCAGCTCCTTGATGAAGAAGGTGAGTGCCATCCTGCCCAGGGGGCGTGGTGTTGCGGGAGTGGGACTTGTGCTGGAGGGTCAGACTCTAATTCTAGAACCCCTCCCCTACTTTTCATCCAGATCACCCTCCTTAAATATTTCCGCAATTACATGAGTGAACACTTGCTGAAGGCAGGTGCCAACATCACACCACGTGAAGGCGATGAGCTTGCCCGGCTGCCCTACCTGCGGACTTGGTTCCGCACCCGCAGTGCCATCATTCTGCACCTCAGCAATGGCAGCGTGCAGATCAACTTCTTCCAGGTGAGCTGGAGGTCACCAAGGGCTGGGGTAGGCTCCATGTGCCTGGCAGTGGCCCATGTGAGTTGAGCACGGAGTGAGCGGCTCAGGTACCATTCCCTCTGCTCCCTAACATACACTGGCCTCTGGGATCGCCAATTGCTGCCCCCTTCTCTTGCAGGATCACACCAAGCTCATCTTGTGCCCACTGATGGCAGCCGTGACCTACATTGACGAGAAGCGGGACTTCCGCACGTACCGCTTGAGTCTCCTGGAGGAGTATGGCTGCTGCAAGGAGCTGGCCAGCCGGCTCCGCTATGCCCGCACTATGGTGGACAAGCTGCTGAGCTCGCGTTCAGCCAACCGCCTCAAGGCCTCCTAATAGCCTCCCTCCCCTCCGGACTGGTTCCCTCCTCACTCCCACCTGCATCTGGGGCCCACACGGGTTGGCTCCCATGGTGCCATGTCTGCAGTGTGTCCGCCAGCCCTGGGGGCTGTGCAGAGCTGCATTATCCTTGCAGGTGAGGGTTACTGTGTAAGTTATTTTTGTACATGTTCAGGTGTGGGTTCTATATCCTTGTCTGTTCCCCAAAACCCCACCGTATGAATTGTACAGAATATTTCTATTGAATTTGGGACTGTCCTTTCCTTGGCTTTATATACATTAAACAGATGCGAATCTTCTTTTTCTTGTATTTCCTGAGGGGTGGGACCTGGGCTCCAGGGAACATCTCTGCTTCATCAGCCCCAGGCCGCCCAGTCTCTGCCAGTCTTGAGGGGGTGTGCTTTTTGAGACACTGTCTCTCTGTCAACCAGGCTGGAGTTCAGTGGCATGCTCGTGGCTCACTGCAACCTCAAACTCCCGGGCTCAAGCAATTCTCCCACCTCAGCCTCCCAAGCAGCTAGGACTATAGGCGTACGCCACCATGCCTGGCTAATTTTTAAAATTTCTTATAGAGATGGGGTCTTGCCATGTTGGCCAGGCTGGTCTTGAACTCCTGAACTCAATTGATCCTCTCACAGTCTCCCAAAATGCGGGGATTACAGGTGTGAGCCACTGCACCTAGCCTGGCAGTCTTTTCTGATTCTGAGGCCAGCTACAGTCTCAACTCTTCAGCCAGCCAGCATGAAGACCATCTGTGTGGTCCCTGGCCCACCTCACCTCCCTGCGGCTCCAGGGCATGGTCCCCTGGCTTCTGAGGCTGGCAGGTAGTAGGGCAAGAAGAGGCTCTCGGAGGCACAGCTCCTCATGGCTTGGTGCGTGTGAAGGAGCAGCCGTGGGAAGCGGTTTGTGAAGTACTGGACGAAGCCATCGGGGACTTGGCCAAGTGCCTGTCGTACCTCAACTGGGAGCTCCCTGTAGTGGTGTTTCTGGAGGGGTAGGTAGAGCAGAGAACCCTGGCTCAGCTACAGCCAGGCCTCCCCAAGACCCAGGCCCCCCCAGGCCCCAGCACACACCTTGTTCCTCATGGCACGCAGCAGGTCTCGCACTGACGTCCCTTTATAGGACCGGAACCTTCTCAGATCTGTGGACAGGGTATTCAGTGGCAAAACTGTCCCTTGGCGGGTTCCCCTCCACTTCCCAGGCCCACCTGAGTGTGGCCTCTACCTGTCTGCAGTGGCATGGAGATGTGTTCATGCCAGTTGTCTCGGACCACCGCACAGCCTCCTGTCTCCAGCGCCCTCACCAGGGGCTCCTGCTCAGACTCCTTCTCCAGCCAGTCGCTGACATCCTGTGGCCCAGAGAGCTCCTGAGCCTTGTGACCGGGGCCAGAGGCCACATGGCTAGGAATATGTTGTCTGACTTAGGGGAGTGGTTTAGGTGACTGACAAGGATCATTGCCTCTGGGGGTGGGAAGCTTCTCTGTGCCATACCTCTGTTATTTACCACCAACCTATGAGTTTGGTACTGCTGTCCCATTGTACAGAGGAGCAAACTGCGGCTCAGAGGCACAAAGTCTGTAGGTCAAGGTCGCACAAGTGCAATGGGCTATCGGCACAGGCACAGCATGAGTGACAACTCAGGTGGAAAGGAATGGGCTATATTCCCATGCAAAGGGCAGCTGGGGCTCGCAAAGTGGCAGTGAGTGGACCAGAGAGTGCCAAGATGGTGGAGTTTAGGAATCCAGGCTGGCTCCCAATTTAGGTAAAGAGCCAGGCTGCCAGGACCGGGTAGCTCTTCCTGTTTTCCCTCGGCCAACGTAATATCCCATTTCTTATTGCTCAGGACCCAAACTTAGGACTTCTGGGGGCCATTCCCAAGCTTTCCTTCTGACCTGGAAGAACTGGAGTTGCTTGGCTCTGCTCCAAAAGAAGGGGTGGGCCAGCACCTGGGTGGCAGAGGGGCGTGCCTGTGGCAGCGGGCTCAACATGGCTCCAACCAGGTCCCGGGCAACCACCTTGTCTGAAGGATGGAAGAGGAGGAGAGTCTGTTTCAGGCCTGCCTAGCATCTTGCCCTTCCTCCCTTCTCTGCTGGGCCCAGGGGTCCCTCACCGTGGACCTCTTCCTCCAGGTGGGCCAGACAGGGAACTCCTGTGAGGATGTTTGCTTGGCGATAAAGACTCTCTCCAAAGGGGTGGCTGCCACCAGAAAGCACATAGTAGAACACGCAGCCTGCAGAGAAGATGTCCACAGCACTGGTCTGGGGCCAGAGAGATGGCATGAGAAGGAAATCTCTGCTTCCAGGAAGTCAGCTTGGCTAAATTCTCCCATGGGCTGATATAGCAGCCAGGTGTTTGGTTCAAACCGGAACTCAAGATGCTTCCTAGGCAGCATCTCTTTGGCTCTAGATCCACTCCTATCTACACCACTATAGGGGGCCCATGGTCATCCAAAACCTTTGCCTCTGCTGAGCTAATTCAGGTTTCCAAGCTTCATTCCTACAGGGTGTAGGCAGGTAGCATAACTGGGTGCCAGGCATGAGGCAATAAGGCAATCAGGAGGACTGTGGTAAGCTGGCATGGCCTCTGTCTGCAGGGTCCTTAGCTCCAACCTGTTGTCACCAGGGGACTCTCCAGGGTACAGAGCTGGTTTTTGTTGTTTTGAGTCAGGGCCTTGCTCATGTTGCCCAGGCTAGAGTCCAGTGGTACAACCAAAGCTCACTGTAACCTCAAACTCCTGGGCTCAAGCAGTCTACCTCAGCCTGAGCAGCTGGGACTACAGGCATGTGCCACCATTGCCTGGCCAATTTTGAAATTGTAGAGATGGGTCTCCTTATGTTACCTAGGCTGATCTCTAACCCCTGGCCTCCAGCAATTCTGATTTTTTTTTTTTAAAGAAAATCCAGATATCCAGATTTTATGTGGAATTTCCCAAATGTCAAAATATTGGGCTGGGTATGGTGGCTGACACTTTGTAATCCCAGCATTTTGAGAGGCCAAAGTAGGAGGACTGCTTGAGGCCAGGAATTAAAGACCAGGGTGGGCAATATGCTGAGACCCTGCCTCTACAAAAAATAATAACACAAAAATTAGCCAGGTACCATTGGTGCATGCTGGTAGTTCCAGCTACTTGGGCGGTTGAGGTGAGAGGATCCCTTGAGCCCAGGAGTTCAAGGCTGCAGTGAGCTGTGATGGTGCCACTGCACTCCATGACAGAGTAAGACCCTGTGTCAAAAAAATATATATAGGGCCAGGCGCAGTGGCTCATGTCTGTAATCCTAGCACTTTGGGAAGCTGAGGTGGGTGAAATTACCTGAGGTCGGGAGTTCGAGACCAGCCTGACCAACAGGGCATAAACCCTGTCTCTACTAAAAATACAAAAATTAACCAGGCATGGTGGCACAGACCTGTTGTCCCAGCTACTATGGAGGCTGAGGCAGGAGAATCACTTGAATCCAGGAAGTGGAAGTTGCAGTGAGCCGAGATCATGCCACTGCACTCCAACCTGAGCAAAAAAAAAAAAAAAAAAAAAAAAAAAAAAAAAAAAAAAAGAGAAAAAATATATATGTAATGGCCACTAATTTAAAAATAAACTGTACGGTCTCATGACATCAGCATTTAGTCCTTGAGCCCAGGTCACCACTTTGAGCTTGCTCTCAACTCTAGGAGTGGGGGCAGCCTTCCCTGGTGACTGTCCTTTTGTGTGATTGTCATCCATTTCTCTGTCTTCAACTTCTGCCCACACACTGACTCAAAATCCGTAATTTTGGGGTCCCGAATACAAGTGTCTCTGTGTGGGTCCGACACTGCTCTGCGTATCAACTAATTAGCTTATCTGATGCCCTCCAGAACCCTTGACTCCAGTGGTTTTCGAACTTGGCTCCACATTAAAATGACCTGGGCAAATTAGGTCATAATCACTGGGTGTGGGGCCCGGGTTTTTTTTTTGTTTGTTTTTTTTTTCTTTGAGAGAGAGTCTCACTGTGTTGCCCAGGTTAAAGTGCAGTGGTGTGATCTTGACTCTGCACCCTCCACCTCCCAGGCTCAAGCGATCCTTTCACCTCAGCCTCCCAAGTATCCAGGCCCACATATGCACACTCCCACACCTGCGAAATTTTGTGTGCTTTTGGTAGAGATGGAGTCTCCCTAGGTTCCTCAGGCTGGTCTTGAACTCCTGAGCTCAAGCAATCTGCCTGCCTTGGCCTCCCAAACTGCTGGGATTACAAGGGTGAGCCACCGTGCCCGGCAATAGGCATCCTTTTTTTTTCTTTTTTGAGATAGTCTCACTCTATTGCCCAGGCTGGAGTGCAATGGTGCAATCTCGGCTCACTGCAACCTCTGCCTCCCAGGTTCACTCTTCTGGCTCAGCTTCCTGAGTAGCTGGGATTACAGATACACACCATCACACCCAGCTAATTTTTGTATTTTTAGTAGAGAGAGAGTTTTGCCGTGTTGGCCAGGCTGGTCTCGAACTCCTGACCTCGTGATCTGCCTGCCTTGGCCTCCCAAAGTGCTGGGATTACGGGCATGAGCCACCATGCCTGGCACACATCCTTTTTTAAGTTGCACCGTGGTTGTGATGCCTGCAAACCATTTTCTAGCTCAGGGTCTCCTAATCTCAGCACCACTGATATTTTGTTAATTCTTTGTGTTGGGTACTGTCCTGTCCTGTGAGACATTTAACAGCATTCCCAGCAGATGCCAGTAGTCCCTCCCTCCCAAGTCATGACAGTCAAAAATGTCTCCAGACACTGTCTGATGTCCCCTGAGTGTCAGAACAGTCCCTGATTGAGACTGCTGTAGGAGAAAGGACAAATTATCTCTTCTTTAAGATGAAACAAGCTTGGAGGAGCAGCTGAAAGTCACACAGCAAGTGTCATGGAGTCTCCTCAGGAGGGGAACTGGGACGGGGACGGATTCCTGCAGCCTGGGGCAGCTGTGTACCTGGAGGACTTGGTGTATAGACTCACAGGACTGTCTGGTGGCAGGAGCTGCAGGAGCTCGGGTGCCATCCAGCCTTCTGTGCCAGGGATGCCCGAGTGCAGGCTGAAGCTGCGGCGCCCAGCAGGCAGCTTCTTGCAGAGGCCGAAATCCGAGAGCACCACCCTGCCCAGGCCCTGGCTGTCAGGCCCAGTGATAAGAATATTGCCTGGCTTCAGGTCCCGGTGCACTGTGGGAGGGGGGCAGGAAGAGAGCTGGTTGCTGAGGGCAGAAGGCAGGGGGCTAAGGACAGGGAGTGGGAGGCAGGGACAGTGCGGGTACCTATGTGTAAAGAGTGCAGGTGGGCCAGGCCAGACATCAGC